GTCTATAGCATTTTAGGCGTTTTGTTTAAATAAGTAAAAAGTAGTAACACATACTTAATAAACAAGTTAATTTTAATTTACTTAAAATTGTCACTTGTTTTAATGAAAGTGTCACTTGATATAACAGATACCCTTCTCCAAATCATGTGTTAAAAGACATCCTGTTTCAGTTTTTAAAAATTAAAAATATTCATGTGCTGTTTCAATTTTTGTTCTTACATATTCAACTATATCCTTCATATTTGTCATTTTGATTTATTAGGCAATCTTAGCATTAAAGACTTTAAGCAAAGCAGTGCTGGTTTTCAAATGCACTATGCATGGTGCCCATGATGAATTAATTCCACTAGAGCACAAGAGTTATCATTATTTAAATGCTAGTTTCTTTCAGAAGTTTTAAATCACAGTCAAGTTTTCAAAATTAGAATTTAGCTAATATTTTGAGGTAAACATATATGGTTTCTTGTTACATATGTTTTATTAATATTTAACACTTTTTTGTGTGAATCTGCATAGAAATATTTAATGTTTGATACTGATAATTGATAAATGATTAAGGAAGCATTTAAGAATATTTGTTTTTAATTTGATGGTTTACATTTCTTAAAGTGTCATATTCAGAACTCTTTGAATTTAATGCATGTATTTGATTAAATAAATTGGACACTGGAATGAATCAGATATTAGACATAAAGTGTCTTTCAAGGTCATTAATAATTTTGTTTAAGAAAAGTTGATGAAATAAATTGTTGGAAATGTTTTATATGTACTGTGATTTGCTCTTAGTTTTCTGGGAAGTCATTTTTTTTTTCCATCCATTTGTTTCGATTAAATAGTAAGACTCCACCACCAAAATGAGAATTAATATTAAGGCACTAGGATTATAAGAAAGAGGAGTGTCTGATTGTGTAGATTGCAGAGTGTGGTTCAAAGTGGAGGCTATTTTTATCTTCTTTACAATCCTTGACATATATAGACAGATTGATCTATCTTTCTCTATATAAATGTGTGTGTGTGTGTGTGTGTGTGTATATATGTGTGTATATATATACACACATATTCATATGCACACATATACACATGGGAATGTGGAGTGGAAAAGAGGTAGGGAGCATAAGAAACAGGGAGGGAGAAGAGATGAGACAGAAGACCATAGAGAAAAGTTGAGTAAGCAACAAGGACCAATAGTGTCCCTGGTGGTGGCTGAGATAACACAATTAACTATACTTGCCCAGGTCAAGTTTCAAACTTTTGAACATTGCAGTGAATATGGAATAGGATACACGCAGGTTTTTGTTATCACTCTGGCATGTTACTGTCTCACATGATACAGTTTTATACTGATAGAACCTATAACTGTATGAGGAAGAAATAAAAACAACAAGTCTAGCATTCAGTACTACCCTATCATAAAGTAAGGAGGTCTAATTGAGCTATGTCTTTATATCCTGCTATTTGTACAAATAAAAGACTACATCTTGATGCAAAATAAACACAAAAGCACTGTTGTGACTATAACAGGGAGTCATATACTAATTTATATAATAAGTGGTTGTGCACGCTTTATTCAAGATTATGGCTGCAAGAAATGGCATGAATTGCTGGGTGTGTTTAATGCTGGATTATAGCAATTTGAAACATGTCAAACACATGGCTAATGCCTCATGCTTCACTCATTCTTGCGTAAACCTGCATAGCCACCATCCATTATACCCTTGGTAACAACACAATTCTGCAAGTAAATATTGTTACACTAAGTAACCTTTCAATTCAAGTTGTTTAGGAAGAGAAAATGCAATCTTGTGCAGTCAGTTCCAGTGTCAGTTTAATGTTTCAAAAGGGAAGTGGTGTAGAGAATAAGTATCTGTATGGTGACTTGCTTAAAAAAGAAGAAAGGAAAAGGAAGGGAAAGAAAACTTAATGCAGGGGAGAAACGTAGAACTGTATTGTTTGAGTGCAAGATCTGAAGACTTATTTTCTGATGTGGCTGAAAAGTTGTGTACAATAAAAGACCTAAAGGTTTAACTTACAGTTCAGACAAACATTAAAACAGGGACTCCCAGATTCATCTGTCCCTTTAATTATCTGGAATTTATTTTCACTGATTTTTGTAAAATGTTTGTGATGGGATTGAGAAGAATGAATAATTTAGTTCGGTATGTTTGGGATCACAAGCACATCCACTCTGAATGAATATGCTGAATTTATTATTATTTAAAATATACTTAAAAGGTAAACAGGACTTCACATTGTACTGGAAATATTTCCTATAGTGGAAAATAAGTGGAAGTTTTACCAAGAGAAACTTAGTAAATGCTAGAAATAATATACACTGTCCTTAAAAAATTCCTCCTTTATAGTGGACATCCAAGCTTTTTTCTTTAAGTGAAATGTACAGTATAATCATCATTACAAAATCACCCTTCTTTTTTCATATAACTGCTGAATCAGATACTTCTTTTTTGTAGAGCAAAAAGTGCTATAACTGCTATAGTTTTCTTAAGTGTTAGACTCTTAGATGATTGAACTTAAAATGTAAATCACAATTTATACTGTAGGGTTTTATAAAGTCAAAAATTCTACAAGGGTTAATAATAAAATCCTTTAGTTAACAGGAATTATAAGTTTTGTAGGTCTTTCTTCGTCATTGTAATAAAGATTTAGACACATGCCTCTTTGCTTGTTGATTATTCTTAATTATTTGATGGCCTTGATTATAACACAGTAATACATGTAAAATTATTTAATTCATCCAATTGGTCCTGAGATTTACTCCCCAAAGGTTAGTAGTAAATGTTGCACCTGTCTGCTACATTTGAAAATATAGTGCTTTATTTTTATTCCTTGTGTTGCTCTTTTCAGAAACAATAAATATTTCAAATAATTTAGGTGATGAAATAAAAGCACACATATATACATGTATTCCAGATATGTTGTCAAAAGTAAAATTTAAATGCAATATGTAGAAGTTATGCCTATCTGCTTCTACAGTTGGGGAGGATTGAAATTATAATTTTCATATAACTAGTAAAGGCAATCAGACCTTTTCTCTGAATATTTTAAACATTGTGCATGTAAAATTTATGCCTAATTTGAATACTTATTAGCTGCCTAATCTCAGAAAAGAGTGTTAGCTTTGCTTTTTTCTTATAAAATGCATCACTGTGTATCAGTTTTAATTTATATGATTTTTTCTTTGTTAATGTTCAGTAAGATGTTTAGCAAAATCTATTTGTTTATAAACACATTTGGCTCAGAAGTTGTTTACTGTAATTACAGCAATTACTTCCTTTACAACCATGTTGTATGTTTTAAATTATCAAAACAGCTTCAAGTTGTATATGTAGTTTTTGTTACACTAACTTGCTTTGCTAGTGCAGCTATTGACATTTTTTTCTAAATCAGTATGTCTTTTTTTTTTAATGGACTTCTTAAGAGTAGGAGAAATAATTTAACAATTCAGGCTTTGATGAAAACATCTGTTAAAACTATTATAAACATTAATTTTAACAATTTTAAGATTGGCATTCTAAAATGTCTTTTGGGTGTGTCTGTGATTATTTTTATATCTAGTGTTTATTTGTGTGCATTACCTTTTAAAAGATAACTGGAGTAAACATTTCTCCATGATAGGAAGAGAGAGTAAGCTTGCATTTGCTTTATAATAAATTGATTTCAAAATTTTAAATGGACAAAGTGTTAAAATATGATCAAGTTTAAAATATTGAAATTATATAAAAATTAGAATGAGTGATAAGTTTAATGTCCTTTACTTTAGGTTAATTCCACTGTCTTGCTGGTATTACTGTTAAAGTCACAGCACAGCCAGGTTGTTTCTGAAATTCTGTCCGTAGAAGTAAAACAGAGAAGTGCATCCATCAGGTTATGGCATAGGATTCAGAGGTCTTTGAGAGCCAAAACTGATCGTTCTAAACCACAGATTCAGGATGTACTGTGAAATTCTGGTTTGTAAGAGCACATTGGTTCTTTATTTACTGCAAGGATTTCCACTGATCTTGGCAGGACATCTCATTGCTATCCTGAAAGTACAGTATATTTATGCAGTGAAAATGATAAAACATTTATTACTGTAGAGAAGGTAATATGCATAATTTATGCTGTTTTTAGCACAATCATTAGTGATATTCTTGATAGATTTTATTTCCAGCTTTCATATCTTATACATGCCTGGAAAATTAATTTTATATCTTTCATTTATTTGCCTATGTTAAAATTGAGTTTTAAGTCATCTTCAAGTGAACAGTTTGATTGCTGCTCATGCATAAGCTTAATTACTTCCCAGGAAGGACAGTATTAAATGTTTTAAATGTCAGAAAAATAAATGAATATGAGCTGTTTGATTAAAAAAATAGGCAATATCTGACGTGTTTGCAGCAGGAGCTTTTTCTTAAAATGCCTCCAAGGCAAAATTTTATTTAGTCACAAAAAAAGAAACCCATTATACTATTTATCATTGGTTGATACCATATGATTTGTAACACCCTTACAAAATTTTAATTTTGTGTGATTAGCTGTGCATCATTAAACAACAGCCTTGCATAAGATGTGCTGTAAAATTTTGACAGAATCAAGATAGTGAATATTTAAAATAAGGCTGTATAGTCATCCATGGTTGTCAAAGGTAGATAATAGGAAACAGAACAGAGTGTGCAATCGTGCCTTCTTTTAACCTGGTTTTATAGGTAGATTTTAAAATGTGGTCATTCATAAATGCTATTGACCATGCTATATGCATGGTATGTTACTTTGGCTGTTAAATGTAACCACACAAAAATTTCTTATAGAAACCATAATTTCAATGATTAGCATCTGGATGAAAGCTGAATTTGTATTGCTTTTCTTGGTAAATGACTAGTCACAGCTTCCCCCCCCCCCCACTTCTAAAGATACTGTCTCTGTAATTGGCAGAGAGGGACATCTTGATAATGGAAGTGTGAAGGTGTAACGTGTGTTAATTGATACTTCTTAATCACTTTTAGGTATTAAGTCATGATGCAGGAATCTGCGACAGAGACAATAAGCAACAGTTCAATGAATCAAAATGGAATGAGCACTCTAAGCAGCCAATTAGATGCTGGCAGCAGAGATGGAAGATCAAGTGGTGACACCAGCTCTGAAGTAAGCACAGTAGAACTGCTGCATCTGCAACAACAGCAGGTAAGTTTTGTTTTCCTCAGTGCTTCCTTAAAACAAATAAGCTTGTTTTCTTGAATATAAAAAATGTATTCATAGCAAATTGAGCATGTTGTGTTAAGCTAAAAGATGCTGAGAATTTATTATTATTTGGAACATGATTGAAGGATGAGTAAAGCTAAGATTTTCATATTAGTTACGTCATACCAGAGTACCCTTCAGGTGTCAGGATATTAATTAAACTCATAGGATGGTTTTTGGAAGGTCTGTAAAGCTTTGTAACAAATATTTTATAGCTTATAGTTTACTATCTTACATTGTGCTGCAGAACGTATACTTAGTTTTCCACCAGAGGGCCACATTACTTGATACTTGCTTATACAATGAATTTCTTCAAGTCTGAGCTAAGGTGAAAAGGACCACAAGGACTTTTCACAAGACAGACGCCTGCCTGTGATAGCTGCAAATATTAGCTACTAATTAGTTGAAATCTGCTGAGAGATTGTAAGTCGTGTAAACACTACGATCTGTTGCTTTTCTTGAAATTCATTCCAAGATATTTTGAATATAGATCTTTCAATAACATTAAAGAGTACTTTTTTTGTGTTCTCCTAGTGTCTCATAAAATACAATATTCTCTTTCTATCTGGAAAAGTAAAAAACTACAAAATAAAGATACACTTTTAAGTAGTCTGGTATTCATTTTGTAAGATAGAATCATTTTTCCTGATTTTGTAAAAAAAAAAAAAATCTTTTCAACCAAAAAACAGCCACTTCATTCTTCACTGACTCAAGTCTATAGAAACAGTGACAGAGAAATGGAAGCTTTGTAAGCATATACTTATATTAGGCCAGAATGAGTACACTTGTTTGAAAAGAAGTTTATATTTATTTTAAAATAAACATTATTTCTTTGGAACTCTGGATTTCACTCAAACTAAATACCTAAAAATCATTAAAATTACATCTATTAAAAGAATGGATTATTACTGCAACTGTTTCAAATTATATAAAATAATTCACATTTTAAGGTGGTATATAATGAGAAAGAAAGCATCTCAAAAGTTAAAGCAAATGCCAACACTAGAGTAAAATATAATAGAAACATTATTTTAAACAATGCGACATTTTAAAAGTTACATGGATTGAATAATGTCTTAACCTTTAGGCACTGCTTTTAAGAATAATCTTTTATAAGAGCTACATATACTTTTGAATGGGTTATCTATTATTTTAGAATTGTCATTTTCTTCACAGACAGTAACTATTAGGAAAACAATTTATATTTTGTTTTAACAATCATAGGAATTAAATGCCTACCACAGTCCCAGGATTAGTTTATTTTACAGATAACTTTAATAAATGCAGTTTTTAGGATAGCTCTGTTCTGCCTTTAGTGTATTTGCAGTAAATATCGCACCAGTGGAATGCTACAATATTTCTACTAACTCCCCTAAGTAAGAGTTCTAAACATTTTTAGTCAGCTTCAAATTTACCTGCAAATCCAGTGGATTGCATGTATAAAGGCAAGTAAAAATAATAATTGAAAATGAACATTGTAGTTGCATATCAATACATGATAGGTTATGAAAAATGCAAAGAAATGTTTATTTTCACAGCTCCAATTAGATCTTAAATAAACAGAAAATGAGTAAAATCATAGCTATAGATTTTAGTACTCTGGAGGCATTTTGATTAGGTCTGTAAGGTGTGTTTATAACCTGAGTTTGAAGTTTACTTTTTTCTACGCAGTTCATTATGTAAACCATAAACAAGAGTAAATACAAAAGTTATGCCCTTCAGATGACTTAGAAACTTTAGTCATGTATTGTATGTTTCTAGAGTGCCTCCTAAAAGTGATTTAACACAATGGGTTTAGTAGGGGCCTACATAGCTACTTTAGGAAGCATCTACAGAAATATGTGTAATAATTTAATAACTACACATGCAAAAACCTTTGTAAATGCCCCTTCCCTTGGTTATATACTAGGTATAGTTAGATACCTAAGGTTATTGAATTTTTTGTTCTTTCATGAATGTATTTTAGAATGGGCCTTTAAGTTCATTAAGGGTTAACATATCTTTTCAATAAAATTGATGTCTTTTTTTTTAATTCCAGCATTTGCTATATTTCAAAACTAAAAACCATAAAAGATATTTATTAAAACATATTTCACAAGCAGTAAAAAAGTGAAGTAATTATATAAATTTATCTCTGCGTGTTGTTATTTAGATGTAAAGGTTCACACAAAGAGTTAAATTACTTGTTGTACATATAATGGGTTAATCATTGTTGGCCAAGATCTTTTGTTTAGAAATATGATTTAAGAGGCAGTGAGTGACGTA